GGGCTGGGGCGGGGCATGTGGGCCTTGCGGGGGGGGTTGTAGCTCCTGCAGGGGCCATTTGGCCCCCATTGGGCTGAACCCTTTGTGTGGGGGGCCAAATCCACTGTTGGGGGGCCGAACCCTTTGTGTGGGGGCCATCTCCCTGTAGGAGGGCAGCAAAATATGTATTCATGAAACCTGTATTTAGCATTCACTTTATTATGATAAGGGACTCGCTTTAACACTGTAGATATATCAATAAAACATTGACCAACTGATCACTGACTCCGTCTCTCTCTCTCTCTCTTTCTCTTTATAGTGGTCTTTTGTTTTACTTGTGGAGGAACATGGATTTGGGGGTATTTTAGTGATTTTGGGGATTTTTTTTTTATCAGGGATTTTCAGTTTTCCAATAGGGAACACCAGAATTCCTCCTAGGGAGGCCAGTGGCAGGACCCTGCTTGCTCAGAGCTGGCACCTTGGACCCATCTGGCTGTGGCTGACCTCCTGGCCAAAAGGGGCCAGGAGGATGTGCTTTGATAGTTCAAAGCAGGCCACCACACCCAGAACATCTTCTGGTTGATAGCTGCCCAGATGGCCGACCAGGGGTCACAAATGGCAGTAGTGCCTCACCAATGCCAGCCCTGCAACCGCAGTCCACTGGCAGCTGGTCCAGAGGGGCGGATGTGTCTACTGGCTCTGCAGTCCCCATCTGAGTCTGGCAGGTGCACAGCAGGTCATAGCCAGGCAGCAGCCCCCACTACCAGCCTGCTGCAGTGGGTAGTGGGTGCAGGGAGCTCTCAAGACTGCTTCAGCAGTCCAGCTGGCACAAAGGGTAGGTACCAATTGGCTGGGTCCCAGAAGCTCCTGAAAGCGAGTAGCCCTGAGCTGTTTGCCAGGGCAGCTTTTTATACTGCTGGGGACAGCACAGGTGCTGGCCCTGGGTTCTAGCTCCCCCTGGCTGCAGATCCGGGAGCCAGGCAGAGTTATTTTGCCCCAAGTGGCACAGTTTGCTCCACAACAAAATGCATGTCCAAGCACATGCGCTGAAGCAAGAAACCCTGGCTCAAATTAGCATTGCTTCTATTTGAGCTGCTGCAAGTGCATGTGCTTGCATGTGTGGAAGTGCCCATAGGGTTTTATTCAGTGATGCTCAACCATGGTGCTGCAGCACTTTGGGTTACCTTTAAAACCTTTTAAGGATTCTGTGGAATGCCATGCAGTATTAGCACTGTTGGGCAAAAAATGATTCGGAAGATAAATCCAGTTTAAGTAGAAATTCATAGTGTTAAATACCCTGACCTACTCTGGTCTTCCTGAGTTCTTTGCAACAGAAATGCTCTTTTTTTCTATAGTAAAAAAAAAAAGTGAGTGAAACTTAAGAGCTGGCATTTTCTGAGGGATGCCACGAGTCTAAAAAGGTTGAGAACTACTGGCTTAATTACCAGCTAAAAATAGAATACCATACTGATTTTTAACTTAGCTCTTTAGTATTAAGTGATTAAATGTGTTTAGGTAAAGCTTCTTTAGGATGAGCATCAGAGATTTGGGAGGATCATGGAGAAGAGCATTATAACTTCAATGAACAGTCAGTCATCCACAAGACCTAATAGTGGTTAGAGAAATGAGCTAAATTCAATTCAGAAATAAGTTAGAAAATCATGGAACAGTTCAGAAGCTTATCTGGGTAACTTGCTGAAGTTTGTTAAAACTAGAGCTTAATTTGGGAGTGTTCAAGTCCTGCAGGTTTTGAGTGAAGATCAAACAAGTTTAATTTAAATTGATAAGTTCAATAAGACGGCAAATAACTATGCGACAGTCTCATATTCAGTATTCACGAAGGAAGGTGGAAGGGGAAGCAAAATGTTTAGTGCATACAATACATTTCAGTCCTTGAAGCAATTGGTTGGGTCAGCATGTCTGTGGAACACGCAGATCTGAAAGTTCAGGTCACTGTAGGTGATCTCTGTCTTGGACATAAATACTTGGCTTTATTTTTTTGGTCCTTTATCCTTTCTTATGGTGACCTCCAAAAGGAAAATGAAATTTGAGTTAAACCTGGATTTGTTCAGAGCATCTCCACCAAGTAGCTGGTTACCTGGGATATTTCAGCACAGAAACATGTTGAAGAATGCTAAAATCTGTGTTCATATGTTTAAGACTGCAGCAGTATAAGCAATTATCTTGTGCAGTTATCCTGAGAAGCATCATGATTTTGTGAGCAAGACATTTTGGAGCTGTTTCTTACGTTGGTATTAATAGGCTGCTTGTAGCAAACTGAGCTCATGACCGAGCCCTTTTGGCATAGTTTTGTGACTTCATTATCTGTTCTTTCAGCCTGAAGAAGCCATAGAAGTGTATGAACAGGCTTTAAAGAAAAACCCTAAAGATGCAGCTTTGGCAAGTAAAATTGGAAAAGCCCTAATCAAAACCCATAATTATTCAATGGTATGTTCCTAAAGTATTTACAACATGTGCTGTGTAAGTGGAGCAGTGTCTTATTTAATGTTATTTTTTCCCCTCCTAATATGCAGGCAGATAAACATTTTACTGTGAAGATACCAAAAATGTTCGTTCTCCTCAAATGAGGGTTTCTTTTTTCTGTGAGGGCTAAGTAGACTAGCTAACGTCTTACAGAAAGCTTGTACAAACATTCTACTTGAGGAAAACCACATATTTATATTATTTTTCATTGCTAAGTTCATCTTCATAAATATTTGATCTTATTTGCATTTAAGAGTGCATCTCTTCTAGATTGCTTCCTTTCTGAAGTTGTGAAACCCTGTTTATCGTAACGTAATCAGAAATAAATGATGGTATCACAGTGCAGGATTGAATTTCATCTTGGAAATGAGCAATGCGTAATGGTGCATTTTATACAAGTTTTTTATTTATTTTACTACTATCACAAAGTGCACAAAAATGCAGGATAAAGTGTGTGGAATTTGCTATTTATTTGCAAGAATTGCCTGGGTTAAGACAGTAGAACAGATGTTTTCTAAAACATACTTTGGACATGTCTGTATGCTTTAGTTACCTTGATACAGCTCAATGAATTGATGACTGTATATTTAGCGTTACTACTTAATAAAGTTTTGAGTATTTATCTGTGTAGATCCCACTCTAAATGCACATGCGTATAAATGCAGAAGACATCAAAATCTTTGAATAGTACCACTAGTGCACTGGTGCCATGCATCTCCTCTTCCTCCCCCTCCCAACTCCCACATCTCGGCAAGGAGCTAGGGAACTGTTCCCTAGTTCCTGTGGCAGTGAGAGGAAAAATCCGTTTGTTCCATCTTCTTTGTAATTTCTTTACAATTAGGATTTACTAACAACATCCCTCCTTTTTCCTCACCCTTCCCCACCACCCTCTGCCCTCCTCTTACCTTGAGGAATGAGAGCGAGCAATCACTGCCCTTTTGTCTTGAAGAGTCATCTGTTGGCATATCTGTTTGCTGCTCATTTTCAGTTTGAACAAGAGGGTCAAGGATGTTTCATTAAAGTTGTATTCTTCAAACTTTACACCCTGAAATACCATATTTGCTTGAATCTAAGACAAGTTCCACCGCTGACATTTAACATGGGGAGGAGGGGAAGACCCTCATCTTAGAATTGAGTAGAAGGGCAGTGGAGGGGCAGGTGGCCTCTGGCTCAGCATCTAGTTCCTACCTGGTGTTACGGCTGCAGCTGCCTGTACCTACTCTCTGCCACCTCTTGCAAGTAGCCTCTTTTCCCTAATGCAGCCTCTGCTCCCCTACTTTCCCCTTTCCCTCCTCTCCTCACCCTTGCTCTGAACTGGCAGGCTCCACATGGTATGTCTGCTGTGGGGAGCATGGAGGAAAGGTTAAGGCAGTGTGGGAAGCAGGGACCAGAGGCTGACAGGAGGGAAGGCACAAACAGAGGGTAAGCTGATTGACCTTCCCACACAGTGCCGTAACAATGAAGTTTGGCGCCTGGGGCAAAACCTGCCCCCCACACAGTTCCAGGCAGCACACGCTTGCCTGGGAGTGCAGGCAGTGGCAGGAGCTGGCTTTCCCCCATCCCCACGACACCTCTTCTTCCCCGCCGCCCAGCCCCTAAAATGAGCAGCTCACAGTTCTGGCTTGTGCCCCACTTCGGCTGGGTGTGGCCTGTTGGTGCCCCTTTGCTTCGACACCCAGGGCAGTTGCTCTGCTTCCCCTACCCTCTTCCTATGGCACTGTTCCCACACCACCTTCCCTCCTAGCAGCAGTGGGAGTGAGGGGGATGAATTGAAGATGATCCTCCAATAATTGGATTCTATACCTGGAAGATTATAACAAAATCTATCCATTGTTCATCTATAGAATCTAATTATTGGCAGGTAGTCTTAAATTCAAATCTTTGATTTGGTTAAATGTTACATGAATCAGCTTTCAAGGGTAAACAGATTATCTCTAAGTCTTAGGGTAGCCACACCAGTACTAACTGGTGTGCAGATTTTAAAGTTAATTGAGGCATAATTGAGGCATAAGATCTGTTTTAAGATTGGCAAAATGCAGTGTTAGCAACTGCTCCCAGCCTTGAACCAAAGACCCGTACTGTTCTTTCACCAAGTCTTAATCAGACCTTTTGGGCTAAACTTAAATAGGTACTTCTTTTCTCAAGGAAAAGCTTAAACTTCTGCTTTCTTTCTGGCAGTGGGGTACTGAGCCAACTAATGCAGCAGGGCTGGTTATTTGACTAGTTAAAAAATGCTTGGTCACTTGACCTGTTAAATATTGTCAAATACTGATCAAATATTTTAAGCATTAATTTGTTAGAACAGTTAAGGGAAGTAACTTTAATATTCAATAGGTTAGATACTTATGCCAGTTACAAAAACAAATTCTCTTATAACTATCAATGTTGAGTAAGCATAATTGTGAATTATATTCAAGACAAAACTGTTCTCCTTTTCCTTGTTTTTATTCCAAAACCCCAGGGTCAGCCCAAACAATTTATACAATAAATAAAGGAAAATAAATTAATCAGAAATGAAACACACACAGCACTATAAAAGACAGCGACCAGTGTTTTAAAATGCAGTTATGCTAAGTAGGCAGCAGGTCAAGTTTTCAAGCATTTTGCTGTTTGTGTTTGGGAATATCTGTAGTCACAGCAGATGGCCAGTAGGAGAAGCTTTTCTATGCTGCTGGTTCTGGTTCTTTCTAGGCCTGTGCGAATAGGGAAAGTATTCCGTTCAGATTCGGCTGATTCAGAGGACAGTGATTTGATTTGGAGATACAGGTCACTGTCCTGAATTGATTTGGCTGAATCGGCTTCAAGAGATTCAGTGCCGATTCAGAAAGATTTGGCAATTTTAGATCATCCGGGGAGAGGCAGGCACAGCTGGGCGGTTGCATGTTCTCCCTTGGCTCCTCTGGCAGTGTCTGCCTCTCCCTGGGCAGGGAGGAAGGGGTGGAGCTGCAGGAGAAGCCCGCATGGCTTCCCTGCCTGGCCCCATCCCCCACCCAGCCCCAGCCTAGTCCTGGCACTTAAAAGCCCCACACTCACCAGCTGCAGTAGCAGTGATCAAGGCCTCTGAGGGCTCATGGCAGAGCCCCCCTCCCCCAGTGGGTGGCAATAGGAATTGTCCCCTCCCCCACCTGGCACCCATGTGGCAGCTGCTCCATGGTGCGCATACAGCACGGCTCAGTAGGGCACTGCATGCTGTCTGGGAGCTGGGGCTGCTGGGTGGAGCCGCCCTAGTTCCCACATGGCATGCAGTGCCCTGCTGAGGCGCGCTGCACCTATGCCATTGGGCAGCTGCCACACGGGTGCTGGGGTGGGGGGCAATCCCTACTGCCC